AGGAGAATCACTTGAACTTAGGCCATAAAGTTTGCAGTGAGCCAAGATGGCACCATTGCACTTCAGCCTGGGTGACATAGCGAGACTCTGTCTCAAAAGAAAAAAAAAAAGAAGAAGACTGGTCCCACAGCCACCAAGGATGCACACTCAGAACTGTATGTTAGTGGAAAACCATACCCATTATCAAGTAGCAGTAGCCCCATTTAAAAAACCAAATTTTGGCTGGGAGTGGTGGCTCACGTCTGTAATCCCAGCACTCTGAGAGGCTAAGGCAGAAGGACTGCTGGAGACCAGGAATTTGAGACCAGCCTGGGCAATGCTATGAGACCCTATCTCTACGAAAGATAAATTCACTGAGCATGGTGACATGAACCTGTAGTCCCAGCTACTCAGGAGGCTGAAGTGAGAAGATCCCTTGAGCCTAGGAGGTAGAGGCTGCAGTGAGCTGTGATTGAGCCACCACGCTCCAGCGTGGGCAACAGAGTGAGACTCTGTCTCAAAAAAAGTAATAATAATAAGTAAGAAACAAAATAAATAAATAAATAAATAAATTTCTGGGCCAAGCACATTGGCTTACACCTGTAATCCCAGCACTTTGGGGGCCAGGCAAGAGGATCACATGAGGCCAAAAGTTCAATACCAGCCTGGGCAACGTAGTGAGACTCTGTCTCTACAAAAAATAAATTAGGTGGGCATAGGGGTGCATACTTATAGTCCCAGCTACTCAGATGGCTGAGGTAGGTGCACCGCTTGAGCCCAGGAGGTTGAGGCTATGGTGAGGCATGAGCATGCCACTGCGCTGCAGCCTGGACAGTAGAGTGAGACTATCTCAAAAGAAAAAGAAAAAGAAGAGAAGTTCTGCCTCCTAAAGTTACTTATTTTGTCTGGTGGTGAAGTGTCTTGAAAGGATGCACTCTGATGTTACTGTTCCCCACCATTTTCATGTCCTGGAAACTAACTGTAGCCTTTTACTTTAACCATGTCCTTCAGTTCATTGTTTCCCAGGGCAGCTGACCTCACACTATACACTGAGCTTGGATGTTCTGCGTTGTAACAAACTTCCTTTGTTCAGTGCTGGTCAATTAGGCATATTTGACAGCACCCCTGCACATAGCCACATACAGACTACCTTATATCCCACCTTATATGGAAGAGCCAGTGACAATCCTGTTAGAGCAGTTAATTCTGATTATAAATGAGAATCACAGGTCAGAATTTCCCAGAATGAAATTCTAGGGTACCCTAATCTCAGGAATTTTGTGAAAATTACAGATCATGCTATTTGTAAATTGTCTACCATACTGTCTAGTGCAAACACTAAATTGCAGCTGTTTTTTTTTTTAATTTGTCATTGCCCATTCTTTGGTTTGCCATATTAATCTAAGATTTAGTCACACTGTCAGTCTAAACCATTAACATACCATTCTTCCCTTTAATTCTAGCAAGGTCCAGGGTGTTGTTTTCTTTTCTCTTTTTCACTGTGACACTCAGGAATGTGTGAGATAAGAGGTCCTAGAGGGAGTCAGAAGTCACAGATTCGCTGTCTGATAAAACATCTGAATCCTCCTAAATATGTGAAGCTCTGTGACCATTTCAGGGACACACAGAGGTTCAGATTCTATTTCTTCCCCCATTACAAGCCACATTGCAGGAAAGATTCTTCCCAGTATCAAGCACTGGCCAAAGTCAAACTGTTGTCTTCCCATTTGGGACCAGTGGAGGTGAAGAACTCCAAATAATTCCTGCCTTTATGTGAAGAATAGTTTGTCTCCTTCCTCACTCCCCCGCCCCCTAAGACCCTGGCCCCTTGCCTTCAATCTCTAGTCCAAGGACCTGTTTTTAAATCTCAGTATATAACAGTATACAGTTTTAGTTTTCTTAAAGGTACCCAGATATTTACTCAGACTTAGGCTTCATGATACCAGGGGAAGTAAACCCACATTTAATCAAATGCAAACGACAGGCACTAAATTGCACATTTTCAACATATTCTATTGGTAACTTTGATAAGCAGGTTTTATTAACTCCCATGTTTGTATGCTCATTCTCTTTTAATTTTCAATAAGGTAATTGTTTCAGTATATTTCAGTTATAGTTTTGAGATACTTTTCTATTGAGCCTTCATTGGCTAATGTATGGGAAACTAATCAATAAATAATTCTTAGGAGCAAGAGATACATTGTAAAAAAGATCAATTCTGCCTAAGGATAGCCATGTTAATTTTCTGATTTCCACAAGCTTAAGTACTAGCTGTTAAAAAAAAATACTTTAAGATGGATATATCATTTTCTATAATTATTGGTTATTTTCAGAGTGGTGCAGTAACAAATTATTTTCTGTCTGATGACTTCTGCTCATGGATGCAGTCGTATAAAGTAATCTGCCCTTATCATTCATATTTCTGTGTAGCTGAGTAAGGTGGGAACTATTTTTGATATGCAGGAGCAAATACTAAAGCAATGGGATTCCATGTACTTTCTGTCAACAAAGGTATCAACTGTCAGAAACCCCTGATAAGTCCCATTTCAAGCAAGTAGAGTCTGGATAATACCAAACAGCAAGACAACAGTTAGTACTTGTGAACTGGCAATACTGCCAACTTGACTTACCATTCTAGCCCAAAATAAACACCCTGGAGTTAAACAAAGCTAAACAAAGGTATGTAGTGGGCTTAGCCCATAAGAAAGACCTTTTGATTTGTCAAAGCAATTTTAAATTGCTCCCATTTATCCAAGCCAGAGTTCGAAAAGGCTAAAGAGAAGCTTTTAAACATAGGATAACATTGTGTAGTTGGGGACATATGGTGTTTGCAGACTGAATGAATGCTAGATGGGGTTTGTTCTGTTCTAGGCCACCCTGGGTGCAGAATAAAGAACAGCCCTCTTTTTCTGACTTTATCACTAATTTGCTGTCACCAGGAAAAGTAACGGAAACTCTTTTGGCTTCTGCTTTCTCATGTATAAAACAAGGAGACTGGAAAAGATGCTTTTTCAGTTTCTGTCAAGCTTCTGAAGTCCCATGATTCTTAAAGGGCTCACAAAGTAGATAGAGGATCTTGGTTTAAATGATCATTTCTTTGAAAAAGTTAAGTAAAAACATTGTTTTATTTCCAACTTATAAACCAATGAACAAAGTGTCTGAGTTTTTCAGGTACAGTAAAAATTAAATAAGGAAGTAGAAATGTCAAATGAGGATCAGAGTCAGAGATTTTTATTAAAAAATTTCATTGTATCAATTCAACAACTATTACATTGCTACTATATTGTTAGTTTTAGATATGTTAGTCTTACCTCCTCAACTGTCAGGTTGAATCATGAAATTGCTATTTTTGTGGGTTAAAACAATCAGGTTTTGTCAGTTTCCAGAGTTCAACCTATAGATGTGATCTCAGTGAAAGCAAGGTATAATATGGTATATCTTACCGTCATTCCCTTTCATTCTTGATATAACCCTGGGCACATTTTGTTTCTTTGACGACTATGCGTTAAAAGCAGTATTTTGGGGCAGAAGGCCTTTTGAAAATCATTTATGTTATATTGCTTTATTTTATTTTATTTTTTTAGACAGGGTCTTGCTCTGTCACCCAGGCTGGATTGTGGTAGCGCAATCTTGCCTCACTGCAGCCTCAACCACTCAGGCTCAAGCAGTCCTCCTCCTCAGCCTCCCGAGTAGCTGGGACTATAGGCACATGCCACTATGCCTAGCTAATTTTTTGTGTTTCTTCATAGAGACAGGATTTAGCCATGTTGCCCAGGCTGGTCTTGATCTCCTGGGCTCAAGCAATGCTCTGCCTTGGCCTCCCAAAATGCTGAGATTACAGGCGTGAGCTACAACTTCTGGCCTATATGATTTTAAAGATGAAGAAAATAAGGCTCAAATATGCCTCAAAGTTGTAGTTCTTTTTGATGTTCAAAATGATACTAACACATTATAAACAAAAAGTCCCAAACGTATTTTGGATATTCTACCTACCAGTAAAAGAAACTGATCCGATACATTTTATAGGGACAGTTCTTAACAATTGAAATTGGGAATAGAGGTGGTTCTCATGTTCTTAAAACCTGAAGGCACTATTCTTTTGTCATTCTTGTTGACTGAGGTGTTGACACTTTTGCCAAAAAAAAATATATTTTTCAGTAGTTAATGGTAGTAAGAAAAACTTAATCTAAGGGAAGGTAGTAACAATAATACCAGACTAGGAACATGATCGGAATCTGCACTGTAATCCCCAAATGCATTACTTTCCTGTATTTGATAAGTTTCATTTCTCTATCAGTAAACAACTTCCAGTTATAGATTTAGTTACTGTTTATAGAAAGGTGTCAGGCTTAGCAAAATTAGAAAGAGACTAAGTGTAAAGATTTTTATAGGTCATACTTTTGACCGAAGTCTTATAAACTGCAAACTCTTTCATGCTTTCTGTAACATCTTTCTGCCATTTTAATGATAAAATAATCATATTTTAGAGCATCTGATTTAATATTTGTCAATAATTTGTATAAACTTCAGTTTATGCTGAAACTTACCAAACCACTAAGAATATAATCCATCACACTATCTTTACAAATGAGGAAACTGAGCCCTGAGCAACTTTAAGTTACTTATAGTTAAAACGTGGACCAAATTGGGACTTGGCATCCAGTATATTATAATGTCTAATGTGCCATTTGCTGTCATTAGTTGCAAAACATTTGCCTCATATCCACACTCAAAAATGGAATGAAGATTAGGTAAATAATGTTTTGGTCATGGTACTTGAAGTGAAGTAGACAAAAGACTTATGACACGGTTACGTGTTGTTTGGAAATATTTAGAAAGTGTTGATCCTAGTTGATCCATTAGGCAGTCAGTGATTTGTTGACCCCAGGGCAAGTCTGTCACACTTTTCAAATTTGCCAGTTTCCAAACACCTGGAAGAAGCATCAAGTAAAACTTCAAAACAAAGCCCTGTTAGATACACAGCCTAAGACTTATGTCTTTTCGTTATTTTTTTCTGATAGAAACATGAGTTCTGCCGGACCTGATGGGAGAAAAGCGATGAGAAGATGTGACGGACTCATTGATTCACTGGTCCATTATGTCAGAGGAACCATTGCAGATTATCAGCCAGATGACAAGGTGATTCAAGAGTTGACCATCTCACATACTGAACTTCCTGTTGTCTTACCAAGATGTTTTGGAATATTCTTTTTTTTTTTTTTTTTTTTTTGAGATGGAGTCTTACACTGTCACCCAGGCTGGGGCACAGTGGAGTGGTCTTAGCTCCCTCCAGCCTCTGCCTCCCAGGTTCAAGCGAGTCTCCTGCCTCAGCCTTCTGAGAAGCTAGGACTACAGGCGTGTGCCACCACACCTGGCTAATTTTTGTATTTTTAGTAGAGATGGTGTGTCACTGTGTTGGCCAGGCTGGTCTCAAACTCCTGACCTTGTGATCCGCCTGCCTCGGCCTCCCAAAGTGCTGGGATTACAGGCGCGAGCCACTGCGCCCGGCCCAGAATATCCTCAAGATAGCCGCTTGGTTTTAGATTTATTCACGGAGTCATTTGCTGAGCCTAAGATTCTCCATACGTGCTTAGAAATATTAAAACCTATGGCCTTATTTTTCTGTTTTCCAGGCTCCAGTGTCTGTCTGTCTAACCATACTATGTGGCTATTTGAAAGGAGCCCAAATACTATATGTTCAGCAATGAATTTTAATTTATCTCATTTTTCATCCCCAAACTGGTTTCTTCTCTTTATAATCCTTTTTTTTGAAACAGAGTCTTGCTCCCTTGCCTAGCGCAAGCTGGAGTGTAGTGGCGTGATGTCAGCTCACTGCAACCTCTACCTCCAGGGTTCAAGCAATTCTCCTGCCTCAGCCCCCCAAGTACTTGGGATTACAGGTGCACACTACCACTCCCAGCTACTTTTTTTTTCTTTGTTTTTTGTTTTGTTTTTTTTGAGATGGAGTCTTGCTCTGTAGCGCAGGCTGGAGTGCAGTGGTGTGATCTCGGCTCACTGCAACCTCTGCCTCCCTGGTCCCCGGTTCAAGTAATTTTCCTACCTCAGCCTCCCAAGTAGCTGGGATTACAGGCACGAGCCACCATGCCCAGCTAATTTTTGTATTTTTTAGTAGAGATGGGGTTTCACCATGTTGGCCAGTCTGGTCTTGAACTCCTGACCTTAGGTGATCCACTGCCTCAGCCTCCCAAAGTGCTGGGATTACAGGCGTGAGCCACCGCACCAGGACTATAATCTTTGATAATCGTCATCCACCAAAAGAAGATAGAAATCTGAGTAATCTTGGACTGCCTCCCTTCCCTCTCATCCATATCCACTGGGCAACAAATCCTGTACTTTCTACCTCTGAAAAGGCCTTTAGTTCTTCCACTCCCCTCTAATGCCTCCACTGTTTTCCTACATTGTGCATCTTTCATGCTGATTATTGCAATAGCCTCCTAGTTGGTCCCTATAAACAGTATCTCTTCCTCTTCTCCAACTCAACATGGCTAGTAAGTTGCGTATCTAAGATACAGAGTTGTTCTGGACACACTTTTTGGAAAGTAAACTAAAAAGAGGCCAGGTGCGGTGGCTCACAGCTGTAATCCCAGCACTTTGGGAAGCCTAGGCAGGCGGATCACGAGGTCAGGAGTTCAAGACCAGTCTGGCCAATGTGGTGAAACCCCGTCTCTACTAAAAATAAGAAAATTAGCTGGGCGTGGTCGCATGTGCCTGTAATCCCTGCTACTTAGGAGGCTGAGGCAGGAGAATCACTTGAACCCAGGAGGCAGAGGTTGCAGTGAGCCAAGATCAGAACATTGCAATCCATTCTGGGCATTAAGAGTGAAACTCCATCTCAGGAAAAAAAAAAAGGAAAGAAAGTAAACTAAAAGGACTCTCCATTGTAATTAGCCGGGTGTGGTGGCGTGAGCCTGTAGTCTGAGCTACTCAGGAGACTGAGGCAGGGGAATCGCTTGAACCTGGGAGACAGAGGTTGCAGTGACCCAAGATCACACCACTGCACTCCAGCCTAGCGACAGAGCAAGACTCCCATCTCAAAAAAAAAAAAAAGACTCTCCATTGTTTAAGAAATTTAGCCTCTACTTCTTAGCATCACACTCCTGGCCACTCATGATCTAACCTTAGCTTTTCTAGCCATGTTCATTGCGTGTCCCCCAGGCAACACACAGTTTAAGCACACCCAGTTGCATCTGGTAAACATTGTAAGAGCTAAAGCCTACGTCCTGTGATAGCACACCTGAAAAGGACACCTATATGCATACGATCGATATTCATGTCCTGTTTTCTCAGGCCACAGAGAATTGTGTGTGCATTCTTCATAACCTCTCCTACCAGCTGGAGGCAGAGCTCCCAGAGAAATATTCCCAGAATATCTATATTCAAAACCGGAATATCCAGACTGACAACAACAAAAGTATTGGATGTTTTGGCAGTCGAAGCAGGAAAGTAAAAGAGGTATATTGGGAAGTTTTTGAAAGAATGAGAAAGTGGGGGAAAGAATGAGAGAGAATGTGTCTGTTTGTGTGTTTGTCTAAGTACTTGGTATATATCGGCACTATTTTAAGTTATTTTAATTCTTACATCAACTTTTGAGGTGTGTGTTATTAATACCCTCATTTACCAATGAGGAAACAGAGACACAGTAAGATTAATTTTCCCAGAATAATTTAGCAAAAAAGTGGAAGAGATTTAATACAATCCCAGGCAGTGTGGCTCCGGAGTTTCATTGCTTTCCATTGAACCACACTGCTTTATGCCTTATAGCTTAGGAAATAAGCTTAAATACGCATAGTCAATTGTATAGAAATCGTTTTTATTAAAGTCAGCCCTGAGATTTGGCTTTGGGCATTCTAAAAACAAACTTTGGACATACTAAAAGCAAACCTCATAGGAAGGAATACATATTTATTTCCATACTGATATGGAAACTAAAAGAATGTCACCTCTTCTCCTTCTCTGAGTATCTTGGTATTTGTGGAGACCAACTGGTGAATTTAGAACCCTGATGCTATCCTGGACACTTTCACAACACTCTGAGGGAACAGGCCTGTTTTTCTTATCTACAGGGTTGTGACTAATTTAGCTTTTAGGTCAACAACAGCCTGAAAACCATTCTAGAATGGCCTATGCTTAATTTTCTGAATTTTCTCTCACTGTGAAATATCAAGTTAGGGGTGTGGAGTGTTATTAGGAAGAAATAATCATCATGGGCTAAAAGTTAAGTGATTAGAAATTATAGGTATTTGCTTTTAAAATTTCTATTTCAAGGGCTTCTTGTGCAAATTATGAGTCTAGACAGTATTTCTGGCCTCTTGGTTTGAGTGTGAAACTGTAACCATCACCTGACGTGCATTAATTCTGGGTTCCTTTTGTGTGTGGTCAGCAATACCAGGACCTGCCGACGCCAGAGGAGAAGAGCAACCCCAAGGGTGTGGAGTGGCTGTGGCACTCCATCGTGATAAGGATGTATCTGTCCTTGATCGCCAAGAGCATCCGAAACTACACACAGGAAGCATCCTTGGGAGCTCTCCAGAACCTCACGGCCGGAAGTGGACCGGTGAGTTCTGTGCTTCATTTCCTACTTTTTAAAATAATGATACTGTAGACACACCTACATTAGATTAAAAGTGGGGTAAGAGAAAATGATTTCTTACTTTAGTCAAGACAATTCTCAGAAATTACAGAGGGTTTCAGTCTCAGCTTCTGTAAAGTCAAGTCAAGTTACAGATCTCAGAATCATGCCTTAAACTGGTTTAAGCGAAAAAGAGGAAATTTTTCACTTATGGAACTGAGAAGTCCAGGGTGGGTCGTCTTTCCGTCATGACTGGACTTAGGGGCACCAGTGATTACAGTTGTGACTTTCCTCATCTCTGTGCTTGGTTTTCCTCTGCTGGTTTTGTTCTCAAAGACTCTGTCCATAGGGTAACAAAGACAGCCATGAATTATTTCAGGCTTACATTTTATCAGCCCAGTGTCCCCCACAAGAAACAAACTACCATTTTTCCAGTAGTGTTGTTAAGAAGTCAAAGAATATGTCTCACTGGCCTGGCCCATTTCGGAACCAGCAAGTGTGTCTATGAGGCTGTGATGTTCTCATTGGCCAAGTCTGGATAATATGCCCAGATGTGAACCTCCAGGGGATGGGTTTGATGGGATGAGGGCCACTGCCACTTGTACCGCAGGACTGAAAGGGTAAAGGAGTGCTCACTAATGGAAAACGAGACCGTTATTACTAAAGGAAGGAGGAATAAATGCTGGGAAGGCAAAAACAACAGCAGATGTCTACTGCAGTATGGAGTTGGCAGGGACATCTGTGCTTCTGTGTCCTAGAAATTCAACTACAAAATAAAGAGCTGAGAGCGATCCTCTTTCCATATGCACCTGCTTTATACCAGCAAAGTCAAAATAATTAAAACGGTAAAATCTATTCCCTTCCCCATGTATTTTACAGCATTCCTATATATTAAGGTATTCTATAAGTATTTAATGATTTAAAGTAAGCTTGTGTTCTTTGCCTTGGTCAGGTCATGAAATGATTAGAATAAACTCCCCCCAAATAACTCATTGTCTGTCCAGTCTCCAATTATCTCCATAGAGAAAAGCACTCTTGTCAGTAGCAAAAATTATTTGTTTTACTCGAGAAACCATATTTATTCTTTAATATGTGTGTTTACACAGAAGCTTGTTCTCCATTTTGAATAAAATTGTGAAATGCTAAAGCTAACATTTCTCTTACCTTAGCATTGTGGTTAAGAATGCAACCAAACTTCTGTCTGTTTGGCTTTCTGCAAACTGTGCTTGGTTACATTGAGAAAGAAACTGGGAACTACCAGGGAGCCCTTAATAATATAGGGACACTAATTAATTATATTATTTCCCATTTTCCTATGCTAGGTCTATGCTAGGTTCCCAAAAACCATTTCTTTTACTTTGTTGAAGTACAGAAGCCCTCTTATTAAGTCCCAGCCAACACAAAAGAAAATTAAATTGGGGTGTGGGGGTGTGTTTAAGCTTGCTGTGGTCTGAGTCTAGTAGAATATAAGCTAAACCTTTAAGCTTGGATTTTAGCCTCCTCCATTCCTAGAGGCTCCCACAGAATCTAGACCAGGGGTGCTTTCATTTTTCTGAGGATACCGTGATATTTGTGCCACTTAAGCTCTGAATATGTATTGTATTACGTAGTTCCTAAGTTCCTTCATTCATTTGCTGAACAAACATTCCTTTGAGCATGTTACGTAACAGACACTAGCAGTCATGGTGTGGGTTACACAGCAGAAAATAAGACAAATCCCTGTGTTTGCTAATAGTCTAACTGGGATGAAAAATAAAAAATTAAAGTGCTAGGAAAAATTTAGGGTGCCAGGTCCATAAAGAGCCCAAGTAAGGAAGATATCTTCATAACTGCCCTAATTACATCAAAGCATTTAGAAGCATACCTAGCCTTAGATATGACTATTGGCTATTTCCCTCTCTTTAGGAGGAATTGTTTAAAGGGAAGCCTCCACACCCTACCAAAGTCAGGGAAATAGCCAATAGTCATACCTAAGAGGCCTAATAGGCGGATATTGATTCATACCCAAGGTGGTTAGAATTGAACTTGACTAGAGATTTATAAGAGAAAATCATTAGCAGCATGGGACAAATATGAGGTCCTTTGTCCTTTTTTTTTTTTTTTTTGAGATGGAGTCTTACTCTGTCGCCCAGGCTGGAGTGCAATGGCATGATCTCAGCTCACCACAACCTCAGCCTCCTGGGTTCAAGCAATTCTCCTGCCTCAGCCTCCTAAGTAGTTGGGATTACAGGCTACCACACCTGACTAATTTTTGCATTTTTAGTAGAGATGAGGTTTCACCATGTTGGCCAGGCTGGTCTCGAACTCCTGACCTCAGCTGATATACCTGCCTTGGCCTTCTAAAGTGCTAGGATTATAGGCGTGAGCTACCACACCCAGCCTTTCTTTATTCTTTTAAGTTACAATATGCTTTTTAAAATTTTGACATATGTGTCCTTTTTAATCAGTACTTTTCCTATTTTTGTATGCTTAGATGCTATGATAAAGTTCTCTGGCTTTATAATTTCAAACAAGGAATCATTGAATAGGAAAATATGAGAATTAGATTATACACATAGTACCAGAAAATATCAAGTCCATGGCCATATAGTTATAACTGAGATAGCACTGAGCACTTAATGACCATGTGCCTTAACGTGGCAAAGAACTCAAACTGAAATAAATAGCTTCCTAAAAGACCGATTGTTTAATTCACATACAAAATTATGACAGTAATTTATAGTTAGTAAAAGTATGTTAATTTAAGCTTTACTAGTTCAGACATAATGGTCGTTCTAATAGCAAAAGGATGGAATAATAAAATTTATTTATGTAGCAAACTCTGTAAATATAAATTAAAAGATTAAACATTGCATAGTAAAAGTTAAAAGTCATTGAAGTAAAGGTTTTTGTTTTTTGCTTTTTGTTTTTTTGAGATAGAGTCTCATTCTGTTGCCCAGGCTGGAGTACAGTGGCATGATCTCAGCTCATTGCAACCTCTGTCTCCCGGGTTTAAGTGATTCTCATGCTTCAGCCTCCTGAGTAGTTGGGATTACAGGCATACGCCACCACTCCCAACTAATTTCAGTATTCATAGTAGAGATGGGATTTCACCACGTCAGCCAGGCTGGTCTTGAACTCCTGACCTCAAGTGATCCACCCACCTTGGCCTCCCAAAGTGCTGGGGTTGCAGACGTGAGCCACTGCACCCAGCCTGAAATAAACAGTTTTAAAAACAATTTAATATCGATTGGAAAAAATGAAACATGGACTCAGTGGCCCCCAACCCCAGGGACTGGTTTAGTGGAAGACAGTTTTTTCACAGACTAAGGGCTGGGGAGAGATGGTTTCAGGATTAAACTGTTCCATCCCAGATCAATTAGATTCTTATAAGGAGTACACAGCCTAGATCCCGCCATGTGTGATTGGGTTCGTGCCCCTCTGACAATCTAATGCCACTGCTGATCTGACAGGAAGTGGAGCACAAGCAGTCATAATGCTCGCTCACTGCTCACTTCCTGCTGCGTGGCTGGTATTGTGGCCCGGGGGTTGGGAGCTACTGCCCTACCACATACCTTACCCAAAAATAAATACCAACAGGAATGAAATCTAAATATGAAAGGCAAAACAATAAAGATTCTAAACAATTACATGGAAGAATATCGTGATCTGGAATAGGAAAAGACTTCATTAAAATGAACACAAAGTACTAGTCTTAAAGTAAATATTTGATAAAATGACTATATTAATTAATAACATGCTATCAAAAGACGTGAACACATTAAAAAGGCAAACTACAGAGTGGGAAAAGATTTTTGCAACATACATAAGTAACAAATGTGGGTATCTGGAAAATATAGAAGAGTTGAGATAACAATAAATAAACAAAACATGAACAGCCCAATAAAAAAATAAATGGACAAGAGACTTGCTAGATACTACACGAAAGATTACATTGAAATAGCCAGCAGTCATAAATTCTTTCCTGTAGCCAATGTCCAGAATGGTGTTTCACAGGTTTTCTTCTAGGATTCTTACATTTTGAGGTCTTACATTTAAATCTTTAATCCATTTTGAATTAATTTTTATATATAGTGAAAAGTAGAGTGCCAGTTTCATTCTTCGGCATATGACCAGCCACTTATGCCAGCACTGTTTATTGAATAGGGAGTCCTTTCCCCATTGCTTACTTTTGTCAACTTTGTCAAAGACCAGATGGCTGTAGGTGTGCAGCTTCATTCCTGGGTTCTCTATTCTGGGACCTAATTAAGCTAAAGAGCTTCTGCGCAGCAAAATAAACTATCAACAGAGTAAACAGACAGCCTACAGAATGGGAGGAAATGTTCACAAAGTATGGGAGGAAATGTTCACAAAGTATGTGTCTGGTAAAGGTTTAAATCCAGAATTCTGTAAGGAACTTAACAAATTCAGCAAGCAAAAACCAAATAATCCTATTTAAAAAGGGAAAAAAAGACATGAGCAAACACTTCTTAGAAGACATACCAGCGGCCAACAAACATAAAAAAAAGCTCGTCATCACTAATCATCGTTAATCATCAAATCAACACTACAGATGCCATCTCGCACCAGTTAGAATGGCTGTTACTAAAAAATCAAACAGATGCTGGTAAGGCTTAGGAGAAAAGGGAGCACTTACATACTGTTAGTGGAAATGTAAATTAGTTCAGCCACTGTGTAAGGCAGTTTGGAGGTTTCTCAAAGAACTTACAACAGAGCTACCATTCCACCTAGCAATTCCATTACTGAGTATATATCCAAAGGAAAATAAATTATTCTACCAAAAAGACATATGCACACATATGTTCATCACCATGCCATTCACAATAGCAAAGACACAGAATCCACCTGGGTGCCCATCCATGGTGGATTAAAGAAAATGTGGTACATATGCACCCAAGAATGATACGCAGCCATAAAAAAGAGTAAAATCACATCCTTTACAGCAACATGAATAAAGCTGGAAGCCATTATTCTAAGTGAATTAA